CCTCTGTGACCTACGTTAAAGTCGAAGTGACGCAATCAAGATATTTTCCTTCGCTTGTTGTGAAGTTATTTGTTCCATAATATGCGAGAGAAGGGTGTGTGTGTGGGTGTCGCTTTGGTTGTGGATGTGAGTGTGAATGTGGATGTAGAGGAGTGAAGAGAAAATCCACACTCACACTCACACCCTTCGATATTTTCTTCCTTCGACATTTTTGCTGTCTACCAAATTTATGCCATTCATAAAAAATACTTAGGAAGTGACACACTTATCCATTATTTATTTTATCGTTTTCTCTGTATTCTGCGCGTATGCGTCTTCTCTCATATTTTCTTGCATATATTTTGTACTACTTGTCACAAAATAAAACAGACACACACACACATTTATGCCAGTTTTCAGCATGTTTATTATCCTACTACTAATTCTGACGCATTTACAAGATGCTTACAGCTTGGCATGTATTAGAAATAGTTCGCTCGCAATTTCACGGAACGAATTTATTTCAACCAATGGTTCATTTACATTAAAGAAACTTAGTAACAGAGCAACGTATCCATATATACGAAGCAGCATATGCCACGTTGCAATACACATTGATTATGATCCGATAAATGGTAGTATAACCATTGAATTTGGCGAGGTTACCAATCATACAAGTAACTATTTCAGCATTGAAACACAGTTTCCATTGGTTAAAGAGAACGATTCTGTCATTAGTTATGTTGACTATGCATGTTCATGGAAAAACTTGTGCGATCAAAGCTTCATCAACGATTTCATCCATCTGTTGGTAAATATTGAGCATGAAACTTTACAAGACAAACTCATTTATCTTTTGCCAACGAGTATTCAGTTAGAAAAATGTGATGAAGCAGGTAAACTTGCTGAATGTTCAAATGGTGTGTGCGTCGCCGATTATGATGCGATTTCCAGTAATGTCACGATCAGCACAGGTTGCATAGCTAATGACTCCATACTCACTAATGTATTGTACATGAAAATTCGAAGTATCGAGTTTCAATCGACGGAATACGAGAACATTTTTTACTTTTGCACGTCAGACAGATGCAACACAAAATCAAACTTCATTTATGCCTGGGAGCAAACTACAATTTTATTCGATCTTATCGAGAACATTGTTAAACGTTTACATTTTAGAAAACAACTTGAAGAAATATTAAATCGAGTGATCGAGCAGCAGAAAAAGACATGGGAACATGGATCGAATACGGATATAACAAGACGCTCTGATTATTCATCGATAGGTGTAATTTTGTTCTGGTGTATTTTTGTTATAGTTCTAATCGTGACTTGTATATGCTGCTGTGGCTCGTGTTCCAAAAAATCAGAAGAATATGCAGCGACGTCAACGAGCATATGAATATCTTCGATCATTTCTATATTCTCGTCAACACATTCTATGAATTTCTTACCAGTATTGACTACTTTCAAAAAAAGATAGCATGAAATATGAATAATTTTTTTTTTCCTTCAATTTATGTTCTATCAGTAAAAATAAACTTTTATCGTACAGTTATATACATCCAATGATCGTATATAAATAATAATTATTGAAAAAAATGGTCAATTGTTGTTGTGAAAAGTCTGACCCGTTATGCGTAATTATCTGAAAAAAGAGCCACTAATGTATTGTTTAGTAACAAGTAATGCTCGTCGCTACCACTCACTTAACTGTCGACTGAATTCGATCTAATCATTATCTCTCACTATTTGCTGGATTCTGTTCTGCAAACTATGCCGGATACACGTGCACATATACACAGATTGTTAGTGGCGACTATTCTATAAGAAGATCCAGTCTTTATATTTTCTGTTAAGACTTTCGTATAAGAACGTAAAGCACAGCTCGCAGTCGATATCGTTGGCGTTCCTACGAGCCCCCATGCCTGGTTACTCGGTTTCTTATATGAGATGAGCATAGATCAACGTGCTATTTCATTTTCTTGCCCAAAAAATCGTTGAAGTAACGAAAAAACAAATGAAAATTATGCAGAGCAGCGGCTAGTCGTTCGTCGGCGCCCCTATGGGACGCCACACTGAAAAAAAATTGTTATGATTACCAAACCAAGGGGGGTCTCCTACTCGCTACGAAACTTAAAAAGAGTTTCGATGTTTGCAACGAATTCGAAACCTCTTTTGGGTGGGTGTGGGTGTTGGTAGTTCTTCTCTTTCTCACATCCACACCCACACCCATATGTTCATCGAAAATGTTTAGATAATTGGCGATCAATGAATAAAAATGGGTTAGGTTTCGAAATTTGTGAAGTTTGTCAATTTAAATATATTATTGAATTAGTAGGTGATGATCCATCGGCTGAAAAAAAAAAGATTATCAAATCTTTCGTTTATTAGTTACTCGTGATATAACATTAATTATTTTATTAATTCAAGCAATCATCATTGGAATGACATTTATATTACAAGCTGCTGATAAGAAAAGTCATGGTATTAAAAATTTATATCCAGATTCGATGAGTGCATTTGGTGTTTATTATTTAAACAGCTTAATATTACTATTTGCTCTATTAGGATTATTTGGTTTCATTGCTCTTTGCTGTGGATTGGTAAACAATAATGATGATAATAGATGTGATTGTGATTGTGCTCGTTATCCATGTATATGTATAAGTCTAGATTGTAATGGTTGTGAAGAAAATGATAATTGTGATGGAAAGGGTGCTGATGCAATAGTGATAGTTATTGTGTTGATATTTGCAATTATTGGAGTATTTGTCGGTATTATGCTCAGTGTCATGGTTATACGAGAAACAATGAAACGTCATACCAAGAAATTATGGTTAAGACAGGAAGCTAAAAAATATGTTGTCAAAGATTTTCAAGGAAGAAGAAATGAATTACTAAACATGACATCTCGATATCGTTATACAAACTTGCCAATGGATCAAACAACTCATCGTGATAAAAGTGAGATAACGCCATCAGCACCGATTGAATTATTACAAGTATCTACGCAATGATTTAGTGGTCACAGTGAATCAAAATTATTCACCTAATTGTCGAGCTAAATAAATAATCATTAGTTTTCCAATTTATAATAAATATTTTTTTTGTATAGGTTTTTCTTTATCTTTTTCAAAACTCAATTTTCTCTTTGTGCTGTAATTCATATTGTTCATGAAATTCAATCTATTGCATTTAAAACAACAGTTCACAAAACGTTTTTTTCTTTCTCGGACAGTGATGAATATGCAACTGTATAGTGTACTCGCACTACGACTGTCATCACAATAAGAATGTAATAGTGAGGAACGGAAGGAGCCTGCTTACTGTGGTGGACTGCTTTTACTTTAACAAAACTAAGATCACTCTGAATAATGTAATTATAACAATAAAAGTGCGAATAAACAAATCATAGACTGTAATTTGATGTGTATTTCTCATCAGAGATCGAAAACGAATCGAAGCGAACCCGAACTGATTCTCAAAAAATGAATCCAAACCGAATCGAATTATTTTTCTGAACAGCGAGTGCACGTTAATCTCTATTTTAAATTATTATTAATTAAATACCTATATTTCATCTAGAATTAGAATAATTAAACGGTTTATTTAACGTCGAGTTAAAACGATGAATATTTATTATCATAGAAAATCGTTTATTTGTCAAACAAATAATCATTGTCTATTTCAGAATTAAATGGTCGTGGCCGTTTTTTGAATAAGTCCATAATAACAAGAGATAAAGAACTAATATTTTAACAGTATCTAGAATCAAGGCTACTTTATCCTTTCATAAAATCCATAAGAAATTTCAATAATTTTTCGTCTTTTATTTACCATGTGTTTTGAAGATGAACCGAATTTGTCATAAATACAATATGTTTTCTTAGTTATGATATAGTAGTCAGATAGGTTAACTTCGCCTCCATCGATCAGCGCAAGCTCGAGGTCGATAGCTATTTCCTTTCAGGCGATGTAAAGAACTTACTGAGTGCCACTCATCAAAATTTTTTATCTAGTTTTGGATCTGAATGTCCATTAAAATCCATTATAGATTCATCGAGAACAAGTTCATTCAATGCCGAACTTTTTCTCTATCAGAGTCTATAAGAATGTCTTGGATATTCAAATTTTTGTCTATCGATAAATGGTTAAAACTGCCAGAATGGAATCAAAGTATTGGAAATAAACGATTTTTATGGTCTTCTGAAGTTATAGTTACTAGGTGCACACCAGCTACATTGTAAACTAGAAAGTAAGTTATAGAGTTTAATGAAGGATACTCTAGAAATATCCATATGAATTCAGCGCTGAATTTCTACCTTTTTGAAAATGCTTTAGCTTATTTTGAAGTCGATTTTCTACAAAATAGAATTTTAAAAAAATTTACAGCGTAGATTGTTTTACCGAATATGTATTTGATACCAGCCTCTCAGGGATATATATAGAAAAAATCAATTTCGTGAGTCTTTCTAGAACATTTATTCTCGCTATCATCGACATCAAACAGAATTGATTAAACTATTCTTCGTTTTCTACTATTCATTCTAAGATTGATATTCGAATTTATCAGAAAAACAAAAAGAATTTTTGTATTTGTAAACATCTTGTTGTGCAATGAATGTAAAAATCATGACCTACTAAAACTCAGCAATTAGATACTAATGTCAATGAATGAGATCGAACTATGTAGTACTGAAATATTATTTATTCATAAACTTGATCATCGCAGTCTTTGTGATGTAAATATCAGAGCAAGACGAATTAGAGTCTGATTAAATATCGAACAAAAGTTGCTGGACATTCAAAATATCAACAACAAGTTTTATT